TACATAAAATAGTTTTCATTATTATTTTATTTTTTTTTTAAGTTAAAAATTTTCAAATAGCTTGGGATGGCTCAAAAATTAATTTTTAGTGTTTTTTTTTCTTGAGAATTGTATATAAAACCAGGTAGAACAATTTTCAAGTGTAGGAGTATAACTTAAAAAAAAAAATATTTTTTTTGTCACTTTTAGACCACCCTAATATATATATATATATATAATTGATGACATGCACGCATATACGGGTACGAAAAGCAAAAATAAAAATATACAGAAAAATAATGTTGGTGGTGAGTGGTAAGTGGGGTGGGGTGAATGCGTTACGACAGTCTAGTCTCAAGGTCATACACGACGTGATACGCGACATAATAACACGTGCCGCGTAGATTTACAAACTTTGCAAGCGGGCTTTTTATTAATAGTAATTCGGCCTGTAAGAACAACGTGGTTTGCCACTTGCATAACGACTAGCTATAGTAGCAAGAGTCGCCACCACCTAGGCGAGGTGTCATACCTATCAGATATGATTACCGGACCATAGGTGGAATTTAATTTTAAGTTAATTAAAAGTATAATCTAAGTTAATATATCGTTATATGTATAAATTACTATAATGCCTCGTGGTTTATAGAATACAATTATGACAATCAAAGTTGTATGTGGTTGATATGTATAACATACCGTAGCCCGTGTCTAGATTAAGGAATAAGAATGAAATACACGCGAGTAATTAAGTTACTCGCGCAATAAAATAAATATTACAGTTGAAATTAATAAGGAAATTTAATTTAATTGTAAAAAAAAAAGAAAATTAAATTAAATATGGACAAAAATGCGAATGCATCAAAAACCATGTCTACAAATAAAGGCAATACAAATAAAATAAAATATTTAAACAAAACAAACAAATAATATTACAAACATCACGGACGGTATTGTAACACATCCGTTAATGTTAATCGGTAATTAATGAAGAACACCAAGAGCGGTCTGGACACTCGCTCCTTTAGCGTTGGTTAGAAGAAAAGGGAAACACGTGCTCTCCACACATAAATAAAATTAAGTTAATTTACGATAAAATAAAAATGAAATAAAATAATTAATAAAATATAGCTCATTACATAAATATAATATAAAAAAGAAAACGATACCCGGTCTCCGAAGAAACCCATCCGATGGTCTGGATGCTTCGTCGAAAAAACCTGACCGTTCGCCGTTGGCGGCTCTACTCCATCATTGTAAAAAAAGTGTCAATAAAAAAATAAACGTGTGCACCTTAGCATGGTCAATGACAGAAGAAAGAATAGAGAAGAGTCAACACCGATCTAATGGCGATTTCAAATCGATAACGGCCAGTCTTTTTGGAAGGGATCAATACTGATAAACAATTCGATTTGAATTATATTTCTCTTTTATCGCCTTATCTAGCGGTCAGTGGCAAAATAATGAGTGGTTGACATCGCTGTGTCAGAAAAAGGTTCTTTCGCGCAATATAATAAATAAGTAGACATAACAAAAAATCATAAACGGTCCACCTTTGAATTTGTGACGTTACAACTTACAACAAACGATAAACGACAAACAACAAACAACATACATGTGAAACTAATATAAGCGTGTTCACAAGGATACTACAAGAATCCGATTGTCGTCTTATTATTATAAAGTTCAATACCAACAAAATTAAGACCTTCAACTCTTGCTTTCAACAATAAGTATATAAGACTATAAATTTTATTATTTATTAATTAATTGAGTCATAAAATAGACCAAACAATGAATAACTAAAATTTTAACCATAATGTAACTCTTATCTTAATAATGTTTTATTGAGTCATTTAGATATTAAATTTCTTTAATGGTTGTGCATTTTTTCCAAGGATCATTCATTACCTACTACCATATTTTATATTTATTATCTTATTGTGTATTAAATTTATAAGCTATATCAGATTATATTTTATTAAGTAATTAAAATATATACTTAGGTTATTAATAAAAAAATTACTATAACTTAAGAATTGATCTTTAATAATAAACTTATATATAGAGGATGAATGCTACTGTTTAGTTTATTGCCCGTGCGGAGTTTTATTGATAGTTATCGATAGTATAGATAAGTAATATTGTGGTATATTACTGTTGATGTTCACGCTATTTATTACTTAGTGTTTTGTGTTGTATTTTTTGTATATTTCAGGCTAGAATTTAAACCATTAATTATTTGGTAGAATTGTTTTATTTGATACACAGGGTATTTTTTTTATCATAACCCACTCAAATACTTGCAGAATAATAATAATTTAAACTTTTTTTTTTATTATTATCTTTAGTTACACATTATTCTTGAATTTTTAACTATGTAATACTTTTTAAGTTCATCCCTTATGCCTTGGAGGGGGGTCAACTTTGTTTTTTTAAATGGTAACACATATTTTTAATTTAATAAAATGTTTGAGTTTTTAATTTAATAGTAAATGGCATTTGAATTTTCAATATAACTTTATTAGCTTATAAGATATAAAGATTTAAAGTTTCAAAATTTTGAGTTAATATACATGTATAATACACATGGGATTGTAAATACAGGTAGCTAATTGGATTTTTATGACATTGCTGTCTCAGTCACGGATTGTTTATTATCAATTATGATTATCAATAGATATACTTTCTGTATTGTCAGTTAGTGTATTTATAAACTCATAACAATGTGCCTTACTACAATTGATAATAACAATGCTGTGTACCTGCTAATATCGATGTTATAAAAAACCAATTAGCTACCTATATTTGTAATCCCTTGTGTATTATACCTGTATATTAATTCAAAAATTTGAAACTTTAAATGATTATATCTAATAAACGAATTAAGTTATATTAAAAATTCAAATGCCATTTACTATTAAATTAAAAACTCAAACATTTTATTAAATTAAAAATATGTGTTACCATTTAAAAAAACAAAGTTGACCCCCTTCCAAGGCATAAGGGATGAACTTAAAAAGTATTACATAGTTAAAAATTCAAGAATAATGTGTAACTAAAGATAATAATAAAAAAAAATGTTTAAATTATTATTATTCTGCAAGTAATTAAGTGGGTTATGATAAAAAAATCACTCTGTATATATATATATATATGGTTGTTGGGCATCTTTAGTATTTATTGCTAAGTGCATAAGATTTTGGGTTATTAATATTACGCAAGTATTATTTAACTTTGCGTTGTTATTATTTAGTTATTAAGATTAGTTGCGCCGGTTGATTGTGCGGTATTACGTACTTATTTGTTTTTCGTTAATTTTGTTTGCGCTCCGTTATACAGATTTAAATTTATTATTGCAATTATTTATTTTTTTTGCGTGGATTATTTATTGTAAATTTCTGTGTCACAATAACTGTTGTTAATATATAATAATTAATTTACGTTATTTTGGCGACGTGAGATTATAAATAAGGGGTATAATTTTATTTATTTTCGTTTCAAAATTTAAATTTGCGATGGCGGATCAGCCGGAAAATGAACGCATCAATCGATTAAAAAGAAAGGCGATTCTCAAACGCGATGATTGTGTCGAGCGGATTCGCGCGATTCACGCGGTAGCAACTCGCTGTATCGTTAACAGTGAACATCTACTCCAATTGGCGGTTCTTCTAAATAAATTGATCAAATTTGGACTGCTTTCACTGCAGAAAATAATACTATAATTGACTGTTTAATTGATCTTGGCTTAACAACTTAACGGTGGAATTACGGGAAATTATCGCTTTCGCGAGATCGGTTGTCAATCGGTATTATGATGATACACAAATTATAATTTCGGTCCATCGAGAATCTCGTATGTCGCTACATGAACGAGGACATATACACTATGAACACAGTGATGATCAACCTGTAGAACATCATAATAAAAATGCGCACATAGTCGTTCCGGAGACGTATGTGATAGAGNGCACGTAGTCGTTCCGGAGACGTCTGTGATAGGGAGACCTGAACAGCCGTCGAGTAATAATAATTCACTTACACAAAGTTCGGCCAGCGCAACGTTTACCCGATTACCTGACATACCATTGCCTACCTTTCATGGAGATATTTTTAAATGGATGTCATTCTATGGTCGTTTTATCACTACTGTGGATCAGCGCCCTTATATTACGGATATAGAAAAGTTTTATTATTTAGCCGGGTGTTAAAAGGTTAGTGCGTCAGAAGTAATAAGTGGAATACCAGTTTCAGGCGACAACTATAAACTTGCGTGGGCTACGTTAAAGGCGCGTTTCGATAAGCCGCGTTTAGTCGCAGCGTCATTAATAGAAAAATTATTAACAGAGCCGAAATCGTCTAACGAGTCTTTAACCGATCTACATAAATTTCTCGTGATTTTTGATGAAGGGGTATCGTTACTCAATACGATGAAACTACCAGATCTTGGAGATTTTATTTTATTTACGATGGCGTCACGGTGTTTACCGACGCATACGGTTAAATTATTCGAAGCTCAGCTGTTAAATCGCTTTCCGACTGTACTATCCACTAACAATAAGTCGAGCAGTGTGTGTAAAATTTGTAACGGCGGGCATGCAGTATCCAGTTGTAAAACGTTCAAAAAATGAGCCGCCGCCACACGTGTTAAATGGGTACGTGAAAATAAAGCGTGCTTTCGTTGTCGGTCATTGGGCCCCCGATTGTCGGGCACCAATAGTGTGTGACAACTGTACTCAACGACATCACCCATTATTACACACAGACGCTAACGTCCGTATTATGCCGATGTCCAATGTTACAACCAATAGTCAACCACTGCAAGATGAAACTGTCGTACTAGCGTCACTCACTGGACACAGCCCGACTGTTGGTCATTCAGTATTATTAGGAACAGTCCTCGTACACATACGCGACTGTGTCGGCGTTTTACACACGGTACGGGCACTTGTGGACTCGGCGTCACAAATTAATGCAATAACTTCTGCCTGTGTTACGCGATTAGGACTTCGGGTTACACGATGAACGGCCCCAGTTTCTGGTTTGTCAGGGACATCAGTCCCAAATGTTCAAGGGTTAGTAACGNTTCTGGTTTGTCAGGGACATCAGTACCAAATGTTCAAGGGTTAGTAAAGTGTGATATACGACCAAGATACGCGACAGAGCCTATTTTTACATTCAACGCATGGATGTTTCCTACTATTACCGTCCAGATGCCCAGTGAAGGTATTGCTGATGACATAGCCGCGAAATATGATAACCTAACTTTAGCGGATCCGTCATTTGCGGTGCCTAATAATGTGGACTCATTGCTCGGCGTAGACTTGTTCGCGCGTATACTTGACGGTAATCGCGTCTCCGTCGGAGAGTCGCTGCCAGTGGCTTTTGGCTCAGTGTTTGGATGGATACTTATCGGTCCAGTACCCCAGACCAACGAGTATACTGAATTGTCTTGCCCTATTTCTCTTGTGTCGACGGCGGAAAATATAATTAGTAAACTCTGGCAAATAGAAGAACCTGAGGCTGCGACTGATGATTTTAATCACGCAGGTATCTGTGAAACTATGTATAACGAGGAAAGGTCGCGTGATGAAGACGGACGTTTTGTGGTACCGTTGTTTTTTTGTCAACCGGTTACGGAAAATACTTTTTACGGTTCACGTGCAGTCGCTATGCGACGTTTTACATATTTAGAGAAAAAATTAGAGGCGGATCGTCGGTTTCGTGAGTCTTATTGTGCATTCATGGCAAAATATTTGGCCTTGGGCCATATGTCTCTCGCTACATCTAAAGATTTATATCTCATTCCTCATCACGCCGTAAATAAACCATCAGAAGGGGATATAAAATTAAGAGTGGTTTTGGACGCGTCTGCTCAAGCGTTTTCCGGAACATCATTAAACCAATGTTTATATGCGGGGCTGAAATTGCAACGCGATGTAATCAATGTCTTAACATTATTCCAATTATCACGCTTTGCCTTTATGGCTGATATTAACAAAATGTATCAGTAGGGTAATTTAGGGGATTCTAGCCCCCCCCGCCTCACCCCATCACCTACCCACCCAACGGTGGGTGGGCGTGGTCGGGGGAGGGGCGTGTCACACAGTGGGCGTGGTCTCTCGATGGTGGGGGGTAATGTCAAGGTCATATAGTGAGCGTGGTCTCTCGATGGTGGGGGTAATGTCAAGGTCATATAGTGGGCGTGGTTTCTCGATGGTGGGGATAATGTCAAGGTCACACAGTGGGCTTGGTCTTTCGATGGTGGTGGTAAGGAATGACTGGATTTATGAGGGTGGGGGTAAGGGTGGCGTGGTCTTATGATGGTGGGGGAAAGGAGGAGGCGTGGTCTTATCATAGATGGGGTAAGGGGAGGTTTGGTCCTATGATGGTGGGGGTAAGGAGGAGGCGTGATACCACAATGGTGGAGGTAATAGATGACTTAGGTAGGGATGTAAAGATCAATCAAAATGGCGGTTAAAAGTGCGCATGCGCATTATAACTTAATGTCTGTGGTGAGGAGAGGTAGCCATATGGTTGTCTCCTTCTACGGTGTCATCTACTAGAAGATAATGTAAACCTCATGTGAACTGATAACGGAACTGATAATGTTCATTGATAAGCGTACACATTACATTGAAATAGTGTAATTCAATTACTTAATATTAACGCTACAGGGTCTCCGTCAACAATTCCTATACAGGAAAGGGGTAATGAATCTTGACATAAACGAACCTATAATGTGTGGGGATGAATCCAACTATATTATTATTACTACTATAATATAACGTTCATAGGCGTCAGAATTTTATGAGAACAATAACAACGTCTGTCGTTATGGCATAATAAATTCTAAGAAATTTATCATGGGTAACCAGACGCTTAGGTAAGCATATTTTCAACATATTATAACGTTCATAGGCGTCTGCATTTTTATTTTTTACATAGTATTTTCTCATTGCCTACCACCAGATGCTTAGAAAAACATCTCGTTAATATTAGTATATTACTATTAATTATATAATTAATATAATTACTATAATTGGTAATATATTTTTAGAATTACTATGTTTAGGTTGCTATAATAGTATAATCGCTATTATTATTATTTTCTACTGCGCCTTTAAAATAATAATATGTGTATCGCATTTTATTTTATTATATTTAATTTGACAATTTTTTTATACCTATAACTAGAGGTATTACATTTAAAGTAGCACCCCCACTACCAGCACCCCCGAGTCTTCACTGCGTTTATCATTTAATGTATACATTACATTGAAATAGTGTACGTCAAGTAGCGACCGCCGCCACCACACTTGACTATTCCTTGAACGATTTGTAACAAACTCTATTAAGACAATTGGGTGTGAGGTGCGCACAATGT